CATCAACCTGAAACCAATCTGGAAATCTTCGTCACTCCTCAGCATCAACAACAAAATTCAGATTTTCAATACAAACGTCAGTCAAGTCAGTTCTTCTATACGGATCAGATCAGAAACTTGGCGGTCCACAAAGAATATTTCCAACAGCCTGTTGCAGACCTTTATCAACAACAACTGTCTTCGTTCTATGCTCAAGATCAGATGGCCGGAAAGAATCACAAACAAGAAACTATGGGAACAAACAAAACAGGAACCAATCGCTCAACAAATATGCAGGAGAAAGTGGAGATGGATTGGACACTCGCTGAGGAGGCCGTTGGGTGACATCGCGCGTCAGGCCCTCGAGTGGAACCCGAAAGGGAAGCGGCGAGTGGGACTTCCAAGGGTGACATGGAGGAGATCGTGTGAAGAGGAGTTGGAACAGTATGGACTAACATGGATGCAAGTGAAAGGTGCAGCAGAAGACAGCAGCAAGTGGAGACGTGCAGTTGAAGCCCAGTGTTCCACTATGAACCCAAGGGAACAATAATAATAATAAGGAAGAAGTAAGCTGAAAAGTTAAACGTATATTATTGAATTTTCATGAAATCATGCTGGTATATTTTGGCCTATACACTGAAACGCCCTAATACCCACCGAATAAAGATGGCGCCACCTCAGAGTAGAGACATGCTATATAATTGACCGTATATGTGTGACAGACGTGCTAAGCTGAATTCATTTGAGAAATATATTGTGAAATGGGAGACAATGGTGATGATTAGTCATAATAGATTCATCGAATGTGGGGTAGGAAAATTGACAAGTCAGTTCAAGGTCATAGGAGGTGTCAGGTAACAGTCTAGTGCAGAGTAGTATGTATTAAAGAGGACATAATAAAACTGTAATAAGAGGTTCATCATCAAATAATGAATGTGTGAAATGAAACAAGTGGAGGTATATATTGAGAGAAGAGATAATATCACTAATAATAAGTCCGGATATTATAAATGGAAAATTCGATAGTATTGAGAGAATGTTTGAATGAAGGGCATAAATTATGACGAATAATAATAATAATTGTAATAATAAGCAAAGAAAAAACCAAGAGGGTTAAGAGGAAGAAGCACTCTTAGTGAGAAGAACAATCATCAGTCCAAGATAAACGACGGTAGTAACAGCGTCTGGACGTGTTATTTTTGAATACAAAGTTCCTGTTGAAGTTGATCTTATGACAACGGCTTCAGCTGTGTGTAAGAAACGTAAGCGAACTGTACGTGATAACGACCTTGGAATTTAGTATATAACCCTGAAGGCTCTGTTGGTGTCGGTGCGATATCCGCTATCGACCAAGTGTGACAGAATCGAACTATTCTAATTCCCCCTTTACTGAATCAAGCTGGTCAATGTTCTCGAATCCGCAGACATACCTGCCGAGTCTCACGCCATATAAAATTTGAACCAAAGGCATACTCATGAGGAAAAGCTAAGGTTAAGTAAGACGTCATTCAGTTTTTAAATGAACATTGGATGGTTATTGAAAGGTAGAAACACACGTACAGAGTATCAAGTCTTCCTTATCGTTCTGTTTAGAAATTGGGAGAGAATCTCCGTAGGACTATCTCCCTTGAATCATAGACTCAAAATTATGGTGGCTTTTTCTCCACGATTGCTACTTCATGTTTTTGACTATCATAACGTATGTGGGCCTCAATCAACTTCTCTGGATATTCCTTTTTCTAGTACTAATTTTTGTAAGGATTTTGTTTGATTGGTTGGAGGATCTAATCGTGAGCTGACATTAGTTAAAGAATCAATGGAAAACCTTCACTCAGGGAGTACTGAACTGCAATTTCTTCCGTACTAGATTGGGACTCTTCATCCGTACGCATTCACCGCCGGTGTTTGAACCCAAGACATTCTGGTTACAAGGCCAGCGAGTTCGTAGACCATTAAGCCATTGAGACCCGATCCAATGGTCCATGAATTCTAACCAGAAGGACATGGGTTCGAACACTGGCGGTGGGTGCATACTGTAGTATTCAGGTGAAGAAGTTATCGAATAAACCTTCTTCGTTCAAACTTTCTTCTTTTTCTAAATTCTCGGACTTGTATTTTCTAAAATTTGATGAAAATCTCCCCAACAAAACTATTAATATATATATACTTCGTAGCCAGAATTTTGAACCGAAATCTCCTTAATTGGTGAATGCTGACTGGCAGTGGAATCCAAGATAACGCGGATTTCGTCCTAATCGGGACTCGTCAGCTAATTGGATGAACCTGCATTCCCCAGCGAGTGATGATATTCCCACCGAGGCTCAAAACTACTACCAAAGCGTTATCCACTAGACTGCTTGGGTCACGACAGTCATCTCTTATGCAACAGGTCATATTAATTATTTAATTCATTTCTAGATTTTCCCATCGATTCATTGGACTGAAGTTCTTGGTGTCAGGTTGAGATGTCGGCTTAATGTGCTCTAGTGGATAACGCTTTGGCTGGCGTTTGAAACTATGGGCACTGGGTTTGAGCCTCTGTGGGAACATCATCACTCACTGGGGAATGCAGGTACTTCCGGTTAACTGATGAGTCCCAAATTGGACGAAATGCGCATCCTGGTGGATTCCACTGCTAGTCCCCATCCACCAATCAACATCTAATTACATGCCCACACATCGTTGAAGCGCATGCACATCTGCATTGCTGAAGCTTTTATTATGGAAACAGAAAATCCAGATCTCTGTGTACAGAAAAAGTTCATTCAACCCCTCCAACTTTCATGGTCTTAATCCCTCTATGCTAAAGTATGGTAATCCCCAATCATATAGTAACTCTACCAATTTTTCATTTTTTCATTTTGTCTATACAATTTGTATTCTTTTCCTTATTACGTCAACTGTTACTATTACTACTCTCACTTTTAATTGTCCTCGGTATTATTTCACTTGTTCCACTTGTCATTCTAAATCAATTATGTTTTGCAATGTAAAATTCTATGTTATCAAATTTTACACAATATTAAGCAACGTTTTTATTTTACTCGATTTGTCTACTAATCCTATAATTGCACACTTTTTTCAAGTTCTATGCATCCTATGAATTATTCTATATATGTTTATGAGTCTGGCATTCAAAGGTGACACCATTTCGGAATTGATTAAAAATCGTTTATCTAAATGTATTAAACGTACTTTTCCTGCAGCTGACTTACAACTAGGTTTTACCAGCCGAAATATGATTAGACAATGCGTCAAGGATAGATTAACGCTTTTGTCCACATCCATGTGTATTTACTCTTTTACCTGCTCTTGTGGAGCTGTTTATATTGGACGTTGTAAGCGTAATCTCCGAAAACGTGTAGCTGAACACTATCCAGTCTGGTTAATGAAAGGCGAACGTAGAACTGCGAAGTCGTCTATCTGTGATCACCTGTTAGAGTCAGGTCATTTAGCCCCACGTGATTCATCTTTCAAAGTTATCTACATGGCAAAATCGAATCGATCCAAAAGTTTACGTTTTCTTCACTTATGCATAGCCGAAGCTTTAGCTATACATGAACAGAAACCTAAATTATGTGTTCAAAAACGTTTTGTCAAACCCCTTTCTTTACCTCGGTCATAGTAATGTTCTTTCTAGTTTTTACTTTATTTTATTTTACCACTTGAATTCTTTCCACTTCACTTCACATCTTCATTCTTATCGTAATCGTACTCTTATTTTTTAAAATTTTTAGACAACACTTGACATTTTTAAAACATTTTTGATTTCAATTCACTTATAAAACAATCTTTAATAATTTTGTAATTTATCCACTTCAACTCTACCCCTTATAACATTTTAATTATCGTTATTCTTATCACATATATGTATATTGACTGAGCAATTATTTAGTGCCACTTAATGACCTTTTCTGTAATATAAATACGACTGTACAGTTGGCTTGAAAAGGAAGTCGTTGAAAAGAAATTTCTTCGCTGAACAAAAACTGTTTTTTTACTTATGAATAAATGGGTATTTTTCGTGATTTATTCTATATATGACATTAATTTGCTTTGCCACTTGATATTTAACTATGATTATAATCGCAAACATTTTAGTTTTAATTGCATTTCATATTATTATTATTTTATGCATTCACACCTATGATTCAATTCCCTCACCGGATTTAACTTCTTAAAAACCATATATATATATATATATTAGGATAAGCTTCCATCCATTGAGGATAATGCTTTTTCACATTTTTAGTAGAAACTTGCAAACCAGTAGGACGTAAATCTTTGAAATACTCAAAAACAGAAGAAATTATATGCGGTATACTGATGATAGGGGTTTTTGGTGATCTTAGATATTCTAGGAGAAGACGGATATTGGTTGAAGGATTTCATCATGAGCTGACATCAGTTACAGAACCATTGGAAAACCTGCAGTGAGTACTGGATAGCTGTTTTGTCCTGCTAGTTTGGGACTGTTCATAAGTACGCATCCACTGCCAGGGTTCGAACCCAGGACCTTCTGGTTAGAATTCATGGGCCATTGGCTTAATGGTATATGAGCTTGCTTTGCAAACAGAAGGTCCTGGGTTCGAACACTGGCGTTAGGTTCGCACTGCTGAAGAGTCTCAAGCTAGGCTGGCGGAACAGCTGTCCAGTACTCCCAGCTGGTTATCCAATGGTTCTCTTATCGATGTCAGTTGATTATGAAATCCTCCAACCAATCAAACAGAATCTCCACAAAAACCAATACTAGAAAATATATATATATGATTGTGCAACTTGAAAAGAGACTCTTCGCTGAATCACTTGTTTTGATTTTATATATGCACAAGAAGCCGACAAACATGTCAACCTGACACCTAGCCCTTCGGTCCAGTGAATCGATGGGAAAATCTAAAATTAAATTAAATTAAATCCTTTTGGTCAAAAATCACCCTTTTGCTCATTTTACTGTCCCACCCCCATTCCCGACTACACTACTCAACTTTCGAAATCTAATTTTAGCTTTACATTATATCCACATGACATTTTCTTGTATTTCTGAGGTATGTCAACTCTTCCGCCTCACTGCTTGTGCTTCGCACTTGTCTTTAGTTATCAGTGTAACGAAATTTCTATATGGATTAGTGGCCTTCAGTTAGTTAGTTAGTTAGTTCGACTTTTAGTTGACAATCGGTACTTCCTTCTCTTATTTCTCATTCGTTTTACTTTCATTGCTCATCGAATAACAAACAAACAAACAAACAAACAGGCATAGGTTGAGCAGAAATATCTGTAGAAAAATAAAACGTAGAACTCTCTCTCTTCCTCTCTGTAGGGATGAGAAGGAAAAGAATGTGAGGTCTAAATACTGAATTTTATCATCATTACTATTAGATGCTTCAACCAATCAGAAATTGAGTTTTGTGGGATAAGAGGCATACAGAGCAGTAACAACGAAAACAACAACAACAAAAAACACTTTTCATTCTTTCCAATAATTTCTTTTGGGGGAAAATGTTTGAGTATTTCTTGACTAATCAATAAATAAGGTCATTTTAGATAGGAGAAATATAAATGTATATGTATGTATATGAAGAATAAGAAACAGTGATGAAGATTTGACTTGTGGCTAAAGGTATATTTGTATTTCTGCTACTACCACTACGGATATTTACCACAAAATACAGGATTTCTCAGCTGCATAACACTGATAGTGAGTACTTGTTTCATTATGTAATGTATTTAAAATATTTTTGATTGGACACTAGTCAGTAACTAGTGTAATGTGACTAGTCCTATCAGTGTGGCCGCCATGCCATTAGGTGGTTCACCATTACGGTGCACTGTGAATCATTGATATTAGATGGTTGAAAGGTAATCGGCCAAAGGGAGCCCAGCCTGCTGACCTAGGTTTCGCGCTGGTTGGCACTTACCAATCAGCAAGGCGTATCTGCGACCTCAAACGAACTCATGTCCCTTCTGAGATTCAAACCCGCTTCACCGACTGCTCCAATCAGAGAAGTTACCACTGAGCTATTAAGCCTCGCGACTGACTCTCAGAAGGGACATGAGTTCCTTCGAGGTTGCAGGTACGCCCTGCTGATGACTGCCAACGAGCACGAAACCCAGGTCAATCAAAGCTTCCTGTGGCCGACTACCTTCAGCCATCTAATACCAACAATGTATTGATATTTTTGCAATAAGTTAGAGTTGGTCAGTGTGGCATGTTAATTATTATTCATGATTTTTTGGGAATTACTTTCACCGAACTGGTCCAGTTGGCTTAATCCTCTGTGGAGTTATATTGAACTCTAAATACTGCCCTCTGTCGGATAAAAAAGCATAGCAACATAGAAGTACACGAAAGTAGCTGGCTCAAACCAAATGTCAGAGACTTCATGGATTGCTTCCACCACCCTATACTCTTTTCCAGTCTAATCATATATCGGCTAACATTTCTCGTCCAGGATGGTAATGGATCGGCATACACAACACGTGTCCATGGCATCTTAATCGATGTAGATTCACAATTTTATCGATTTACTAACCCTTCTTACTCAACACTCCACACCTAACCTGAATATTACTCACCATATTATACCACTTAACACGGAAGAAGTGTAGGGATGGTATTCACAGTAAAAAGTAGTGATGAATTTCTGTAGGCTAATGAGCGTGTACTGCCAGCTAACTGTGTCAGTAAATCTACAGCTTTGTGCAATATAATGCAAGAGGTGAAAAGTTGTCAACAAACACTTGAGGTTATTAAGTTAAAAGAGGCAGATAACTTTGGCTTTCTGAGCTGAATGTAACTCGCTACTACGTCGATGATCTCAAGAGTAGAGCATAGGGCTTCAAGCTTCAGCTCAGGAGGTGTAACTTCAGTAGCAGGGTATTTACAGGGTAAGGTTGCCAGAACTCACGCCAAACCTTCACTCTTTATTTACCTGGCCTATTACCATCTACACGAGGTTTAAAAGTGCGTCGGCCGAGAATACAACTCGGACTACGTGCGTAGCTGGCGAATATCCGGCCACTAAACCACTGATTCATTCTGCATAATTAACAAATAACGAATGGAAAATTCCCATTGTAACATGCAGAAAATCAAAACAAATGATTCAGCGAAGAGAGTCTTTTCAGTGACGAATTTATTATCAAGCTGTACAATCGTATATACATGGTTTTTAAGAAGTTATATCCGGTGAGGGAATTGAATCAAAGGTGTGAATGCATAAAATAATAATAATAGTAGCATGAAATGCAATTAAAACTAAAATGTTTGTGATTATAGTCATAAGTAAATGTCAAGTGGAAAAACAATTAATGTCATATATAGAATAATTCATAGGATGGATAGAACTTGGAAAGGGGGTGTGCAACTATAGGATTAGTAGACAAATCGAATAAAATAAAAACGTTTCGTAATATTGTGTGAAATTTAATGGCATAGAATTTAATGTTGCATAAAGGAATAAATTTAGAATGACAAGTGGAACAAGTGAAATAATACCGGGGACAATTAAAAGTGAGAGTAGTAATAGTAACAATTGACGTAATAAAGGAAGAGTATACAAATTGAATAACCAAAATGAAAAAATTGGTAGAGCCAAAATCTGATTGGGGATTACCATACTTCAGCATATTAAGATTAAGACCAAGAAAGCTTGAGAGGAGGGGTTGAACGAACTTTTTCTGTACACAGAGATCTGGTTATTCTGTTTCGATAGTCAAAGATGGCTTCTGCAATAGAGATGAGTCAGGTACATAATGATTCGGCCAAATACTTGATAATAAATTCGTTGAAAAGAGTCTCTTCGCTGAATCACTTGTTTTTATGGTGAACATCGCATCGAAGTTCTATGTCTTACAGTTTCACTATCCAATTGTATTTGAATGACTGTCAGCGATCAGCGTATTCTCCTTTTTATATTATTGTTTAATCATTCTGTGCTCTCCTTAACTACGGTAAATACTTCCTAAGTGAAATCTGTGCAAGCAAAAAGGAAGATCCAGAGGTCTTTCTGACTTTTTTTTAACATGTTATTAAGTGAAATAATGACTAAAATCTTAAGTTCTGAGTGAGAATATTAATAATGCTAATAAGAATAATCGTAGAAATAATCGAAAGGTACATAGAATAAATAAATAAACAAAATAAATAAATAAATGTTTATCCCTCTACAGCCAAGGAAGAAGTAGACATTGTACATACTTCTTTTGAACACAAAGGTGTGTCTGGCTTAAAGTCATGATTGTCCAAGACCTCCACTGTCCTTAGCAGTCTACAATGAAAAAAACGCGGTCAGAAAGTTAACATGGATTCGGTAGATAATCCCAAAATCATAGTCAGAGTTTATGGAGTGACAGGAGTCGATCAGGTGTTCTAGAATAGAGCTCCACAAACACTTCCTTTCTCCTTTGTAAAGCTTTGCTGCTGGAATATGTTCTCGTATCCATGTGGAAAGCGGTGTCCTCTAGCTACGGCCAATGTACCTTGCTCCACAAGAGCAGGTGAACTGATAGATGCACACAGAGGTGACCAGCTTATCTTTTACAGAGATGGAAAACAACTTGTTGTTGGTGAACGTTATTTGTAGTCTTGCTGGCTGTTGGAAATCCTTTTCTTGACACGTTAAGTTTCTGACACATTATTATTGGAAACAAAGAGTAATATTAGTTAGGAGTGATGGACTGGTTATTAAATGGTTGATCATTTTTAAGAAAATTAGACGACTAGGCTTGGATACAAAAAGACAAAGTTCAGCAGAATTTTCTGCGTAGAAAGACAATTTAACTAGAAAGAGTATAACATGATAATCGGTTACGTAACCACGGAAATGCATGTTTTTTATGAAATAGCCAGAAAAAGAGGATAGAGTGAGTAAATGTTTAGACGAAAAATAAAGCTTTCTAAACAGGACAGAAGATGAGGTAGTAAAGTTTGTATACTTTGTTATCAACAAGGCAATCCCAGATTCACTTCTGTTTCTTTCTGTGTACACAGATTAAGACCATAATGCCCAAATTCTACCGGTGTATTAATTTAGACAGCTAGTTGTGATAAGGCAATTAATGTATAATAATTTCCAAAAACACTAAACGATCTCGGATGATAGTTGATCCAACTTACTTACTGTCTCTTCATAAATCAATGGCCAGTAATCACTTAACTGAATGACAAGCCAGAATAGTCGACTTTTATTCAGTGTCATGTGATAAGGTTCTGTTGAGGGTTTGCTGTGTGTCAGTTCACCTTCATATTTATTGATATCAAGAAGCTAAGCTTATCACTAACTATCCGGAATTTCATATTCCGAAGGAAGATATTTTCCCATATAATGTAACCAACATCACAAAAGATAATCCAGTTGTCTAAATAGGTCGGTAAAACGCTTTGAAACTAGACAAATGTAACGTCTGATATGATTACAGCATTTCTCGAAGGGCGTGATAAAAGTTATATAAGACCAACTACTCTATGAGGAAATTCAAACGGTAATCGACTGCCCTCATCCTACCTATTTTTTTTATTACAGCTTGATTCCACACCGTATTTCTTGGTACAGGTATGGAATTTTCAGCATGTGATATCGGTAGCCCAAATTTTGCAGGCCGACCATAAATATCAGGTGTGCGTCGGCAGGGGATCGAATCCCGGACCATGTGCATGGTCGGCAAGAGTCCTAACCGCTGTGCCACCGACAGAGAAACGAAACTGACACTGTAGTGGTTACAGGATTTCATCATGAGTTGACATCAGTTAGAGAACCACTGGAAAACCTGAGAGTACTGAAAATCTGTTTCGTCCTAGTTTAGGACCCCACGACAATAAGCACCCACCACAGGATAGCGAGCTCGTAGACCATTAAGCCACTGGGACCCGATCCAATGGCCAACCCATGAAATCCAACTTCTACCAAATCATGATATGGTGCAACCGCTAGACAATGTCTTCGGCGAGTATTTGTCCTCACGCCCGACCTGCTGAACCCTACTGGTCACGACTTCACCCTAGAGCCTAAGTTTGTTTTGCTAAAATTTATAAACTCAGTCTCATACACCTCATCTGAAGACACAAATCTGCGTTATTCCGGCTTATCAGTAGCTACCTATATGTATGGGAAATAAATAATCCAAGTATTTAACCATCTTGCCTCTTAACGTATTGTACCGAAGCGAAATGCTTCACAGAAAGGTATTTTGTTAAAATTCGTGGATAGGTAGGTTATTGTATTGTAAGTGGTCATTCAAACACTGAATGGTAGCATTAAGGAAGTGAGTTTCTGTGACAACCATTATAAAATGAGTACAGTCATTGTTTATTATGGGTACAATATCGAAAATCACTATCAAACTACTTATTGTAAACAACAAGTGGATAAATTGAACTTCATCTTACAAATCACTCATGCTTAATTTAATTCAGAAGACAATATTCAAAGAAGAGCCTCTTTTCAACGATGAATTTATTATCAAGCTGTACAATCGGATATTTTTGGTTTTTAAGATATTGCATCCGGTGAGGGAACTGAATCAAAGGTGTGAATGCATAAACTAGTAATAGTAGTATGAAGTGCAATTAAAATATTTGTGATTATAATCATAGTTAAATGTCAAGTGGCAAAACAATTGATGTCATACATAGAATAATACATAAGGTGTATAAATGTTGGAAAGGGGTGCATAATTACAGGATTAGTAGGCGAATAT